AACCGACCGTCGAGCTCCCCCTCTCAAAGACTCTGTTCCTTCCAAAATCCCAGACAGGTCTCCCGAGCTCCACTCCTCATCCAAGACCTCAGCTTCAGAAAAACCCCCTCTCGACCAGCAATCCCTCAAGACCCAGTCCGCCGGCTCGACCAAGGCGCTGGTCGAGTCTGGCAATAAAGTTGATACCGTGCTGGGCAAGTGGTCCCGCACCGATCAGGGTGCGGTCGTCTGGAAGCGGGGCCGCGACAGTTATCTTCCCCCCGATCCTCTTGCTCCGAGACCGACGTCCTTGCTGTCGGCATCCACGAACGAAGTGGCCGAGCGCCTCGAGGACGTTCTCCTCGAGGATGACCGGAAAAAGCTCGGCCCCACACTGCCCGAGTTTGGAGATCAGTTTGTGCAGTGGATTGCCCAGGTATTGTTTCCCTTGCTTCCTGCTGTTTTCTTTCCTATGTTTCACGCGTTGCACCAACTTTGAATTGTGCCCTCTTCACTGGTGACAGGGCTTGGTCCAATTTTTGCCTACGGTGCAAGAAGCTCGCGACAGCTCTGGAAAATCCTTGAAAAGCCTTGAGAGCACCATCAAGTTCTTGCAGGATAAGAACTCCACTCTCGTGAAGCATAATTCCCAGCTCCGCGAGGCCCAAGCGGAGCAAAAAGCTGAGTTCGATGTCAAGCTTCGGTCCCTTGATGAAGAGCTCAGCAATAAAAGCAAGGCTCTCGTGGAAAAGGATACTGCTCTCGCAGCTAAGGAGGTGGCGGCAGCGGAGAAGGATGCTGCGTTAAAGGAAAAGGAGGGCGTGCTCGAGCAGGAGCGAATTGCTCGATCAGAAGCGGAGACCGCTCGAGCACAAGCCGAGGCTGCTCGAGAGCAGGCCGAGGCTGCCCGAGTACAGGCGGAGACGGCATTGGCCAGGGTGGAGACTTCTCGGGCTGAACTGGAGGCCACTCTGGCCAAAGACAGGGCTGCCCATGCTGAAGAGAAGCAAAGATACGCGAACGCCACCGCCCTTCGGGCTAGGCAGATGCTTTGGGCAACCACGACTGGGCAGCTCTTCCTCCGAGAGCATCATGCACAAGTGGTGGCTGACTTCATGCAGTCACCCCAATTTTTGAAGGAGGTTCAAGACTTCAGGGTGGATTGCTTTCAGTTCGCCCTCCAGAAAGCCGGCGAGCAGATCACGGAGGATGATTTTGAGCAGCTCGACCCTGGGGTTATATGGGATGCCTTACCAAAGGT